GTAAGTCTCGCGGCCAGCATGCCGCGCGGAGCGTTGCCATGGTAACCCGTGGCAACGCTCTGACGGCTGCAGGTCTCGCGAGACTTACACTGGGGAGCTGGAGGGAGGTAAGTAAACGCTTACTGCTGGCCCCCCAGGACTGCCGGGCTTGTAATGAGCCTGGCGGTCCTGTTATATATTATCTGCAATATCGGTATCTGAATTGGCAGATACCGATATTGCTGAAAATACAGAATATCGGCCGATAATATCGGTAAAACCGATAATCGGTCGATCCCTAGTATTTTAACACTTTCCATGCACTAATTCTACTACCAGTCTTTGTCAACCTTTTGGGTAGTCATTTTTTTGTGTTATTTTTCACACACATTGTACTTTGGGCATGGATTCTCAGCTACTGTTCTGTATTACTGACAAAGAACACCCCAATACGGGTTCAGCAATATCTCCCAAGTACAACAGTGCTCCCAATGTAAAGGTTTTATGGGTTATTGCAAACTTACAGGGGTCAAATGTAGGGCTTTCCCCTTTTCCATGTTTGCACATTGAAATTTGCCAGATTGGTTTGCTGGGCGTATGCTGCCTTTGAGACTGTATAGCAGCCTAGGAATGAAAATGAACCCCATCATGACACACCGTTTGTAAAAGTAGACAACACATGGTATTCAAAATGGGGTATGTCCAGTCTTTTTTAGTAGCCACTTACGCATAAACGCAGGCCAAAGTTACAGTTTTTGTGCATTTTTTTTTTACACAAAAACTGCACTTTTACTGGTGATTTAATCGTCGTGATATGTTTTACTGATTTAAAACACTCATATTTGTGTTCAGTTAAGTCTCCAGAGTGTAATAATAGCCCCATGTACAGGTTTTATGGTGTTTTGTAAAGTTACAGGGTCAATATAGGGCTTGCCCAATTCAGTTTGCCAGATTGGTTTGCTGGGTCTGTGTTGCATTTTGAGACCATACGGTAGCCCAGGAATGTGAAATAACCCCATCAAATGTAGAAACCCAGGGTATTCAAAATGGGGTATGTCCAGTCTTTTGTAGTTGCCACTTAGTCACTAACTCTGGCCAAAGTTATAGTTTTTATTTGTTTTTGTATTTATAATGTATAAATATATATATATTACGTGTGTGTATATATATATACACACGCATGTACACACACATAATACGTGTGTGTGTGTATATATATATATATATATACACAAATATATGTGTGTATATATATATATATATACAAATATATGTGTGTATATAATTTGTATATATAAACACACACTTATTTCCTTTATATGTATAATGTATTATAAGTAAAGCATTTTGTAATATATTATATATATTTATATATGATTTCATTATAAGTGCATTTTTGAGATATATGTGTATATATCTCAAAGTACACTTATAATGAAATCATATATATGCAATATATATGTATAATATATTATAAAATGCTTTCACTATTTTATAATATATTATACATATATAATATACGTATATCATATATATATATATATATATATATATTTCTTTTACTTTTTAGCAGCTTGGGGGACTGCCTGACAGCTCAGACAGTCCCCCTGCTTGCAGCTCCTAGAGTCCTATTGAGGCGATGTGATCACATGGCCCTGGAGGGCCGGGGTGGACGGAGCTGCTGCAGGGGGACTTGCTGGGGTCTCCAGCAGTCCCCCTGCCCGACCATGATAATCACAGATCGCCGGTCCAGGTAAGTCCAGGCCTCCTATTTGCCGCAGACATACTAGGTACATCTGCGGTCCTTAACAACCGTTTCTTGTCGGACGTACCCAGTACATCTACTTTTGTTAAAGAGATATACATAGAATAAAATTATATATACCGGCACTCCTGGTTTTCCAACATCAAGTAGTTTTATTGTCTTAGTCAACGTTTCAGTCCCTAATCTGGGACTTTCATCAGGACACACCTTTATCCGTTTTTATTTTATATTTGTACTAATTTTGTTATATACAATTGCACTTATTTTAACTTACTATAATAAAAGTTAAAGGACCACTATAGTGCCAGGAAAACATACTCGTTTTCCTGGCACTATAGTGCCCTGAGGGTGCCCCCACCCTCAGGGACCCCCTCCCGCCCGGCTCTGGAAAGGGGAAAGGGGTTTAAAACTTAGCTCTCCTCCTTCTCTCCTCCTCCGTTCCGCCCCGTCGGCTGAATGCGCACGCGCGGCAAGAGCTGCGCGCGCATTCAGCCGGTCGCATAGGAAAGCATTTACAGTGCTTTCCTATGGACGCTGGCGTGCTCTCACTGTGAAAATCACAGTGAGAAGCACGCAAGCGCCTCTAGTGGCTGTCAATGAGACAGCCACTAGAGGATTAGGGGGAAGGCTTAACCCATTAATAAACATAGCAGTTTCTCTGAAACTGCTATGTTTATTAAAAAATGGGTTAACCCTAGAAGGACCTGGCACCCAGACCACTTCATTAAGCTGAAGTGGTCTGGGTGCCTAGAGTGGTCCTTTAAGTCTTAATAGACACTGTTTACTCTCACATACACAGATACACCTTTTGAGATTTATTTTTGTTTAGTTTTTTCATTAATTAATAAAAAAATACACTTAGTATGACGTTATATATAAGATATAAATATTATATATGGATATAATATATGTATATATATTTGTTAATTTATTAACTTTATTTAAATTTTTAAAAAACTTTTATTTACTTTTTCACCAACATGGGGACTGCCTGTCAGTTCAGGAAGTCCCCCAGCTGGCAGCACTTTGGACACCTATTGTGACTGGTCTTCTAGATCCTAAATTGCAGAGGGGGGGGACTGTCTGGCTGAGCCGGAGGGGGACAGCGGCGATCAGTAAGTACATGGGGAGGGAGGGAAGGGGTTCATTTTTAAAAATGTAATTTATTTTTACACATTTACTGAGTGCCTCAACACCTCGAGGCACTTCGTACAGGCAGAGAATCAGAAGCCTGCCTAAAGGCTTCCGATGCTCTTGCCTACACTGCCGAGCGACACTCGGGGTGGGGGGGGTATTCCACGATGCCTCGATATCGAGGCATCGTGTAATACCCTTAGAGCGTCTGGAATGATCACAATCGCCTCCAGCGCTCATTTTGGCTGCTGACGACCGTTTTTTTGCTGACGTTCCCCCTACGTCTGCGGTCACTAAGGGATTAAATGAATACATGTGTTTGACTTTAAATGTTAATCTCTGACAGATGCATTGTTTGCCTATTTAAACGTTGACATTCAGTGATTCCTTGCACTGTGAATGTGTCTAAATCCCTTGCTGCTTGAACCCAAAACTTTCTTTGCAGGAATTACTTGTCTGGGCCCCTCCGTTTGAACAGGAAATCTGATGTTACTTCAGCTGCTTATGCTACAACGAAAAACCATTCTGCTCTCCTGGATTGGACTTCTGGCATTTATTACGGACATGCTTCATGGACATCCCTTATCTACTCTGCATGGCTACTTGGTAACACATTTTTGCTTTGGACTTAGGAATTGAGTATCTGATTGACCCTTTATAAAAACCTGCTTGATCAATCAGTAACAAACTTTGGATTTGTACTTTTGTTTTGTGCATTTGGATTGCCCTTACATCTTACTGATTACCTGTTAGCATCTCCTGGTTAATCACCTCCACTTTGCGGCACAGTTTAACCCTTTCCAACACCTGCTGGATCTTTATGTTATTGTAAGTGACTGTGGACTCTGGACTTGTATTACTATTTAACGCCTATAGCATTGATTTAATGATATTGATTGCTGGCTTCTCCCACTGGATATTCTTCACTGATCAAACTTCACATTCCAGTTGTATACCAAGTGAATACGAATTTGGAATCCCTCCTTACAATTCAAGCAATTGAATGAAGATATAATTTAATTTTAAGTCCATTTATATATATATATATATATATATTTTTTTTATATATATATAAAAAACCTGACACACTGCTTGTAATCTTATAATGATGTTATTTAATATTTTCATACTTCTTCTCATGGCCAACTGCTGACCTGGTATATGGCCAGTCCCTGCTCCTACTGTGGCACGGTGGGTTTGCTGGATTTTGGGTCTGGCTGCTGTGGAAGGCTCGTTTGGTGTGCACTTTGTAAGGGGGTGCTGCTGCTGCTGCTTCAGTGACTCTGGAAATGGACAGTTCTCTTGTTGGCGGTTGCGTTAAAATGTTAAACTTAACTCTCACACTCCGTTGGCTTTTGTTCCAAGGCATTAAAATTGCAAAATATGAAGCCTCCTGTCTTGCTGTTATTCTAGCCTTGGTCATCAAATACTGGTAATCTAAATTTTATTTAAAAAAAGAAGGCAAATATTGTTCCCTCCCTTCCCATCCCCATGATTTTTTTCTGGGGTTGAGTTTTTGTATATATTGTCGTTTGGGTTTTTTTTCCCCCTGTTTTTTTGTTTTGGTCTGGGAGGTTTGTAATTATTGTTTTGGTGGTATTTTTAATCTCTAATTTCTTATTGCTCGTATTTCTATTACTTGATTTGTTTTTTTGCAGTTTACTTTCAGGGTTTTTTCTCTTTCTTTCAGTTTGATTTGGACCATAGCAGGTTCCTGTGGTTCATGTTACATTTGAGTTTGTTGCTCTGCTTCTGTTCATCTTTGTGATTTTACTGTTCTCCTGTTCATTCTGCATCATAGAAAGAGGAAAGGGGGGGGCGGGTATTTTGGTAATATCACATTCTTTACATGGTGCTTAAATGTTTTGGGTTTTTTTTTGGGGGGGGGGTTCTCATTGTTTGTATCTGAAAATGTGCTTTACATGATAGTCACACTGATCTGGCATTTATTCTATATACAAAACGTGCTTGCATGCTGATAAATGCTCTTCAAAGCAGCGGATTCCAACTAGTAGAAGGGAAACTATTTTATGGTTTATAACAATAAATAGTAAAAACACTGAGGCTGATAATAAGAACAAGTCACATTTATTAATTTCAAATCTCTATCACATACTAGACATGCTCTTTAACATATTGGTCACATTTCCAAAAGGTAGTAGAGTTACAGAGATACATAAAGCTGAAGTGGCATGTGTGCTTTGTTTTGAGAAATACTGGAGGACTTGAAAGAGGGCTACAATCTTTAACCCATGAAATGCTAGATGAGAAGTCTAAGGCAATTCACTTATTCCCAGCTCAGCACCCAAGAATTAAAAATATACACCTTTAAGCTATAATAGTACAAACATGAGTTTTCAATGGGAAAAACAGCTGCAGACAATGTAAGCCCACTGAAAAACTAACAAACTGTTGAACTGGAGTGAATCTGCATTGCTCCATAATAATCAACATGGATTTATCAAGGGTGGATGAGTACATAATCATATCCAAAGCAACCAATGACATAAATTCAATATTTATTGGATGGCATGGTTGCCAAAATCAAGGGTACAGACACAAGGATATTTTGATAATACTCCGCCATTTCCCCGGTGTTCTAAATGGTTCGCAGCTCTAGTTTCCCTTTGAAAATGAGGTAGTTTGCAGGGTAATTTGCTCCTAGTACTTTCTAGTAAGACATGTCTTAAGACCCTTAGCATGAGGTAGTGTGTAATATTCTCATACATATGAGGTTTAAGGTGCTCATTTACTAAAAAGGGAATTGTAGTGAATTGACAAGTGATCTGGAAAATTTAGAAAAGAAAAAAAGTTTGAAAATGTTGGCCTTCATTTTACGATTTACTTGTCAATTCGCCACAGTTTTATTTGGAGAATAAATGCATGGGTGGAGGTCAATAATACAGAAAATAAAGGTGCTGATGACATACGTATTTTCACCCAGATTTCTTTTACACCAATCTTAAAAATAATGATTAACAACAAAGTTGTATAATGAGGTAACAATGCCATCAAAAAGCACTTGAAATGTTATGGCATATCAAATTGACAAAGCACACAGTCAACTTAACATATTTCTCTAAGGTAGAAAAACAAAACAAAACAAGAAATACAATTAAAAAACACAAATTTTCTGTTGAACAAATAAAAAAAATATTGGTTTGACTTTATGTATAGGTAGTTGAAATTGAATGCCTTTACCAGTAATGAGGTCAGAGTCAGAATTATCTTGCACTCCCCTTGTTGTTAATGTGTTTGCTGAATGTAATCTCTCTACTCTGTAGCACAAGAGCAAATTATAGGCACAACTACAAGATTACATTTTCAATGTATACCTCCTGGCACAAAGCATTCAAACTGTCGTTAATAGAAATTGTGTTGACAGACATGGCCAACCAGCGTACCCGTATTACTATTATTAAAAAATGCTAAATTGACCAGTCTGTCAAAAATTTGATGAGTGAGGAGCAGGGATGCCCTCGATTAATGTAGGACACACCAACTCTGAGGATAAAATTGTGCAGTAGCTGGAGACCAGCCAGGGGTCCTCAGAGCTCAATACTGACTTGGTATGACAATTTTGATACAATAAACCCAGACAGATATATTGTAATGATATTTCTCTAGAGTTAATTAGATGCAGTAGGAGGGGTTTAATCCCCCTGACAAGACACAGCTATAAAAGGTATAACAATGCAAATTTAAACAAAAAGAGAATAAGCAGTCAACATCAATACAAATTCCCAACGTGAAGATGTACAGAAAAGTTGCTGGGTGACACACATAATATTTCTGTAGACTCTCCAGGCGTATACCTTACAGTATTAAAGTCACACATATTTAAAAAAGAAATCAAGAACCTTGCATAGGTTGCAATGGCATTTGCAATGTTTCTGTAATCAATCAAAACCAAAAACTGTTCTGCTTTGGTAATTTTTATAGATCACCTATGTATGACCTCTTACTAAACTCAATCTGTGAACAGGTTTATCAGAAGAGGCAGCCAAATATGAATAACAGCAAACCAAGTGACACATTTAGACATCTGTCTATGCATACCTTCTAGTAATTGTGTTACATACATTTCCAAAAAATGTAAAAAACAAACAAACACATTACAGGAACATTTTCTTGAGTTAAATGTCTGGAGTCCACAATTCAATGTCAAATATCTACTCTATCCATTCCCAATAAGTAGCTTTGGACATGGAGTTGCCAAGTGGCAAAAAGAATTGCTGCGTTTTGGTAATAGCACATCACTGCAATGCTGTGCAATGTATGCATAGTCTCTTTTTTTGTTTATAGATTGGTAGAATGTAGATGTGGGAGCCTTTCTTGGTTACACTGGAATAATCTGAGATGAAACTAAAGCTAAGGATGTTGGCAAAGGAACTTGTAGACATGGAGTACATATCTTGGGTACAGTAAAATTAATTACTGCTTTAGAAAGAAAGAAAAAAAGAGAGAGATAAATGTGTCTGCCTTTATCCTTGTACCAGGATAATGTCACCTTAGCAGTTTGCATCTAGAATTGGATTAAATCAAGTTGTTTAAAGAAGATCAGAGTTATTTGTCACCATTCTATTGAAAAGACTAATACTTTGTGATTTTGCTTCCTGGTTTAATGTAACAATGTTCCGTAAAAGCAACATATTTCCTTATTGTGCTCTAACTAAACTTCCATTAATGAGCCATTTAACAGACTGCATGGAGTTCTATTGCCCAAATGATATATCAGGAGGCACCCAATAGAAAATGAATTTCCTCTGGTTTCAAGATGTATAGTATAAAGATATACAACTTATTTATGTGTAATGTTAGGTTATTTTAAAATGGTCTCTGAAATATTAATCATGTCAAGTAGTTCATAATGTATCTCATATATTCTATTCTGCACTATCCGACATCTAGTGATCATGGAAAAGTCAATATATTCACTGGTAAAATGATTATAATAAGTAGTAACTGTGCTAAAGACAGAAAAAAAAAAGCATCCCTATGAAATAAGCATAAAGCCAACAGTGATATAACAAACTCTTGATTAAAAACATAACAACACACCCCCTCTCAAAACAAAACGTAATATACTTAATATAAAAACATTTTTTAGAAGCAAAATCTAAAAAAAAAAAAAAAAGGCATAGAAATTTCAGTTGATTAAAAAAGGTTCAAAAGTGTGTCGGCCCCTTTCTGGGGTACTGGCTGTACCCCACCAATGTTTGCCCTGGATAGTAGGACGACAACAAACGTCAAGTGGAGATGGAGTGTGAGATTCTCTGATGCAAGTTACAATAAACTTACAAAAATTATCATTTTTAAAAACATGAAAAGGGCAAATAAGTCAATTAAACCTATTAAAGGACAGAGGGAACTAGTTAGCTTGTATAATAATTATAATCCATCAAAATATCCTACACTGCCACAATCCAATCTTTAAAATATTGCAGGCTCCTGAATTACATTATTTATTTGATATCATATGCCTCAAGGCTTTTTTTTTTTTTTTTAAATATATATTCCACATTCACCCTTTTGGTTTGAAAGTCATTGAATAACTATAACCTCCAAAAGTTCTTCTATATTACATTATCACCAAAGCATGATGCCCACTAAAGAGTTGGACAATACTGTTATGATCTTGTAAAACAATACCACAATAATTAGGCTGGATACAGAGAACAAACTAACTCCAGATTTCTATGCATAGGAGGGCGAAATAAAGGTGGAACCTGGGTGTATATTAGCAGTAAAGAGCAAGGACTCTGAGCTATGACCCATTGTCAATGGATTAAAACAGAGGAGGATTGGACACACTCATTACTTATGTAGCCTTGGCATAAATGCAAAGAAGCTTACACTCCAAATCACATTTTGTTGTGACTGACAAAGCAATTCTCCCACCTTTAGTGGGCACTCTGAAATGTCCTTCAAAAAACAAAAAAGCTAATAGAAATTGACAGAATGTTTCTAATCTACTGCTAAATTGCTAGAACATTTTACACCTGAGTTTACAATAGAAACACATTCTATTTTACCCTGTTTAAAAGTCGCAAAGATTTGGAGAGATGTTAGGAGTTTGAATGCATGACTTTCATAATACAGCCCGAGCCATGCTGAGAGCTAGGTTACAGCAAGATCACAATTTAGCCACTGGATTATCACCTCATTAGCATCAATGTAGCACAAAATCGTGTGATGGCAGACAAATCAGTTTGATAAACAAAAATGAAATTCCAAGAAAATCCATAGAATCAGATATTTTGGAGATAAAGGAACAGTCTTGTGGCTGTAAAATGGCATCATTTTTTAGTAAAAGTGTTTTAAGAGCTTTTCCTTTGATAAATATAGTGCTTTTTAATGATAGGATTCCAGGAAGCTGCCATGATTGGCAAAATAATACTTATCCTTGCAATTTAAGAACGTATACATAAAAACAGCTAACGTCTATGTGCCTCTTTTAATTAGGTAGTAGGCAGCATCTTTCAATGAACCACATTTAGTAAACAAAAACAAGATGTATGGATACACACTTGAGTATGTCCACTCCAACCTGCAAACACTGCATTATAGAAGAAATCCAACAACAGGTCATCTGCTGTGCCATAACCTATGAGTATCACGAAAGGTTCTTGCAGCAGCAAGGATTCAATAACTTTGGGATGTCGTACACAATTAAGCAACAGAGCTGCAACAATTCCTGCCCTGTGCTTGAAGGACAACTGTCATCTCAAAAATACTTTTAACATAATAGTCCTTTCATCTAGTTTTGAAATAAAAGATTTTTTTTCCATTTTGTTTAAATGAAGTATGTGTGAAATAAAATGAGAATTTTAGTATATGACCGGATCCTTCAGCCATGTACACGCATCTTGGGTCGGGCAGGGTTTGAAAATGGACAGTCTCTGTGGTCTTTAAAACTTCACTCTCTGCACAGTAACACGTAAGACAAGAAGAGTGACTGTAGGTTTTCAAATACTGTGCGATCCAAGGCGTATGTACATGGCTGAAGGATCCTGTTATATACAAAAGGTAGATATGTGTTTTTACTTACATATATGTTATTAAAAATATCCTTTTGAAACTTGATGAAAGATATTATATTAAAAATTGTTTAAGTTGACAGTTGTCTTTAAGGTCTTTCACTGCTGGGTGCTGTTAAAAAATGCTGAGAAATGCTATGTAAGTCCAAAAATGTAAGCATTCCATGGTTTTAGGTGTATAATATAAAAAAAAATAAGTGTCTGGCTTTGTGAAGTCTAAAATAAGACACAGTGATAGAAAAGTTGTATTGTTCAGTAGTTCAGTAACGGATTACCAAACTAAACCCGGCTTACAAAGCATATACCGGTAAGCAGAATTTCACTAAGAAGGAACTTAGAGGGTTAGCCTATACCAAAGACCATTGTCTCTCACAAAGTAATATTGGGTTCTGAATGTTGTGCCACTAGTCATGCTGCCAAGTTAAAGTGTCATCTTATCTTTGGCTCCAGGACAGCATTCAAAGAGGTCAATGTACACTTTGTAATATTGCTGCATCAGATTTCCTAGTTTCAACTTGGAGCTTTGGGTTACAAATTACACTAGCTACTTGTAGAACTTGTTTTTTTTTTGTTGTTTGTTGTTTTGTAGATGCTTAACATAGTGAATATATATACATATTTAACAGACCATTCAAATATATTGTTAATAGCTATTAAACATCAATCGCTGTTTAGCACAGTGTGGCTAAGAATACTGTGAAGGAAAGGAATTGGTTAAAACAATGCCACCACATATTGATCTTTTCTGCTAACAATGGCTTTAGTACAATATTCCTTTCGAGCCTCAATTATCTGTTGGTGAAACAAGAACAAGCATGTCAAATTCAATTTCCTACATATGCTTTAAAAGCAGATTTGAGTGCCAACCTATCGCACCCTTACCGACTGGCTTCAAGGTTAGTATATGTCTCTTAGTATTTATGAGAAGATCAAGGTTAAAGATGACAGGACATATGTCTTCTGATAATCAAAAGTGAAATGGTGTGGATAGCCGGTGTATATTTAATCATTGATAGCCCTAGCTTACTTTAAGAAGGAGGGATGTATACAATGTATTTATGATAACACATTGCATTTATGTTTGTCAATTGGATGGATTCTCTTTATTTTAGGGTGAAAACATTCTTAGTTACAAGTGCAATATATATTATTATTCTTGCCCTCGTTAAATATGTGACTGCAAATTTATTATTTCTGTAGTAACGCATTGATCAGATCATAAAATAGTTTGAGCTTAATAAAATTAAGTCTAGTTTCTTGTAGATTTGAATGTTCCTACATGGGGCTGTCTATCCATAAAATTAGTTAAGGTACTCAGTGACGTTCTCAGCTACAGGGATATTCTGTGTACTCACTCCTAAAGCACTTAAAATGCTAATACAGATATAATGATTTGCACATGTACATTGATATATCTATAAAAGTAGGGGTATAGATAACAGGAACAAAGGAAGAACAGTAGCAGTGGTCATAAAGATTAATTGTGTCAGAACAGATTTAATTTTTAAAACTTTTTTGTAATGGCAGAAAAGGATAGTAACGTAGTAAGAGTTAAAAAAGAGTCGTAGGTCGGTAAAAATCCTAACGAAATTACGTCTGCTCTAGCAACTGACACTGGGATCACCACAGTTGGATGAGCAGTTGTAGGTCAAAGTATTGCAGAATATCATCAGAGAGGTTAGTGACTGCAGAGCACAAGTGCGAGTTGGAGTAAAAAGAGATGGAGAAGACCAGGAAGACAAGTGAGATACACTAAAAGACCACTCCAGCTTGCTGAACTGTTGTTTTGAGTGTATCCCATTAAACATGCAATACAAGTGCTGATTTATATGAGAAATTGGCACTTATAGAATTAATGAAACACCCCTGGCTGTCAATCAAACAGGTTTTGTTGTACATCCATTAGTTCCTTTGATCTAACAGAAGTGGCAGGTATGCTCTTCTTGAGTGCACCTGCCTTCCTCCCTCATACCCTATATCAGGATGTAGTGTGTACAGTCTCTTCCAGAGAAAATGGGGAGGGTTTGCAAAGGCTGCAGTTCCTAATATACACCCCCGATGAATACATGCAGATATTCATTGTGAGTATTTCACAAAATTATGAAGATACTAAACAGTGATTTTTAGTATCTTCAGAATTTTACCTATGGAGTGGTCCTTTAAGAATATATAGATAGCATCCTGCTGAGTGTTAAGGCTATAGTGGAGGCGATATTGGCAAAGTAGTAAAAAAGGTTCAGGAGTGACAGTGAAAAATTATATACACTACTTGGAGAAAAGACAGTGTGGTAGGCAGCTGCAGCAATGACAGAAGGGTGAGGTGCAGAAGATTTTGAAACTAAATCAGTCCAAACTGCTATTTATTAATTGCTTCTAGATAATTTAGTAAATGTGTTGCAGAACTCTCAACTATCAGTATTTTTGTGTCTGTCAAATTACATTTATTTTATTTTAACTTAATTATCCAGCGCTGAATAATATGAACTAGCCTTTTGACTCCTTCAAAGCCAGACACTGAAAATAATTTTCACCATGGAAGGAAAAAGTGTTTAAAAGCAGCACCATGAGGGTTAATCTTAGCATTTTCTTTCACAAAAAAACGTATTGTTGTCTACAGTCAGACACAAAATATCTAACAATACTGAGGTAGTTTCTTCTTTTTTGTCCCCAAGACTATTGAAATAAATCTTACCCCACCCCCAAACCAGATAAAACTACACCTATTGAAAAAAATAATACAATCTTTAAAAAAAATATTAAAATGGCAACACTGTAACATTCAACCCCTCCAGCATCAGGAGATTGGGTCATCCATAAAAAAGGCATTAAAAAAAAAAAAAAAAACTAGGTCTGTAAACAGCAACAAAATGCAAGAACTGCATTTTTTGTTTGTGCACCCGTGTTGAAGATAATACATTCAACTCTGTCAGGAAATAAATAGATAAGAAAAAAGTTTTTTGTTTTTTTTCTTCTGATCCCATCACGGGTTTGACACTGTCTCTTTTATACTTCTCGGCTTATCCAAAGCATTATTCCCTCTTGTGGATACCTAACAACTTGTGTCTTCCTTCAGGTTTCCTTCCAGTCTCACTCTTTACTTAGATTTGTTCTGCACGAGTGCAAAAGAGCTTTGAAAAGTAATGGTAGTTGTTCCAAGGGCACATTAACCAGCTTCCCTGGAAAAGCCAAAAGAGATCACAGTCTTAGAGACCAAATTTTCATGTCATATAAAATGGTGAAACAGTTTACAGAATGCATACAGTGGGTAGGAAATCTAGTAGTTAAATGAACACGTCAACATAAAAAAAAAAAACACTTTATTTGCTACATTAATATATCTTTATTTCATAAAACATAGGGATCAGAAGGTTCAGAAAACCAGATAGAGTCCGCTACCCTGCCGGGCGCACCATGGAAGGGATCCATAGACCCTTACAATTATTGAAAATCAAATTACAAAGGCTTCACAGAGTAGTACAAATATGAAGAACAAAATGATATACAATGTTTTGGCGTCAAGCCTTATTTATCTATAAGTTATACGATTAAGGCTTGACGCCTAGACATCTATAATTTTGTGCTCCTGATCCTAAATAAACTCCTTCCTATCTGTGAAGCCTTTGGAATTTGATTAGGGATCTTAAGTAGTTCTGTTTGATCACGTACAATAGGGTGCACCAAGGCACTTTTGGCACCATAATAATGATAATTTAAATGTTCCTTTAAAGGTAATGGAAAGATCTCTCTTCTTTATCAATAGTGGCAAAAAAGCTTACATCAAAATGAGACACTATAACAAGATTGATCTAATAAAGTGGAGATAGTCATTATAGAGAATATTGCCTTTGGATGTGCTTGTAATTCTACCAGAGCAGTAGGTGGACGGTGTAATGCTTTTAGTTCACACTGGTTATGTCTTCACTGGTTTTAGTCTTTAGTGCCACATACATTTTGTTTCTGATATATTTTACACTGTTTATTATTTGACAATATTTATTAGGAAGAATAATACAGTGTGTACTATGAACTCAGTGAGTACATATAACCCATTCTTACCAGCAATGTAGCGAATCTCCGGTAGACACATCATGAGATCCGGGAATCTATTGTGTTGGTGTGCGTATCTGCACTCTGTGAATTCCTGACACACAAACCAGTATCTCTTGTTCAGTTGTTCAAGTTGTGAAACACTGCTTAGACCTTGGATATCTGGTGGAGAAAAATTATATTGGGTGAGCAGTAGATTTAACACTACCATGACTTGAGTCAAACCCTGAGGCAGTTTTGATAATCCAATGCATCTATTTTTTTCCATCAATACACACATTAACTTGGGTGTGGAGGATGCATCCACTACATCATGGAATACAAACATGTCTTCCTGACCCTATAGTGTTAAAAACACATGAGGCCTCCACCCCTTCCTCTCCCCCCACCTTAAACAGGGTTAAAACTTATTCCAACACGGGTCCGGCAGCGCTGGCCCAGCCCCTGCTCCGACCCCTTGACTAAGGTCAGCCGATATAACAATCTCAGCCAATCCAATGCATTCCCATAAGAAAGCATTGGGAGGCTTAAGTGCATGGGCCAATCAGCATCTCCTCATAGAGATGCATTGAATCATTGCATCTCTGAGGAATGTTCAGCGCTTCCATACAGAGTGTGGAGATGCTTAACATCAGTGCTACACTGACCCTTGCCGTCTGAGTAACAGCCACTTTAGGTGTCCCTAGTTGTACCATTCATTTTTAGTATATACCACCATGAATATATTCTTATTCTTGAAAAGCCTCAGTACAAAAATATGTTGAAAAAAATCCAATTCAATGTAATATGCAATTCTTAAAAATCCAAATTTGCTGGGCTTATCCATACAGCTGCGGTTACTAACAGGCTTTGCAATGACTTGGATTTTTTTCAGGTGGGCAGGATCTGCACAAATCTTGTGTAAACATCAATCCATGTACACTACATTTTGTTATTAAATTATAAAATTACAGGAACATTTCATAAAAGAAAACCCAATAATTTGTTTTGCATGTCTTCTTGGGGGGTTTATAAATCCTGGCTTGCGAAAGGTGCAGACCTAGCATATTCAGCTTCTGCAAGCCTTTCTTCCCCAACACATACTTTCTGTAGTTGACCAATCATCAACTACTCAATTAACTGTATTATAATATAAAGAAAGTGCTGTGGTCAATTGCCTGCATCTTGACAGACTGACTAACAGTTAAACTCTCTGTGCTAAATGCTGCACATAAAGACTACAGTCATCATCAATACTGGTCATGGTGTTTGAAGTAAGCCTTTAATGGACCACTATAAGCACATGAACCCCTTCGTACCAAAGAAGTGATTAGTGTGCAGGCAAAAACATAGGTCTAGTTGTTGTTATACTGACAGCCTCTAGATGGTACTTCCGAGTCATACTCTGTTCTTCAATCAATGTTTCTCAGAAGCTTTTGATTAGCGTGCCGCGCAAGGGCCTTCTATCTGCAATGCTTCTCTATGAGATGCATTTGATTGGATAAATTGTTATCAAATTTGATGACTTCAGAGAGGCAGATTGGGCTGCTCAGAAAAGGCTGTCTAGGAGCTGGATTATACAGGGAGTGCAGAATTATTAGGCAAGTTGTATTTTTGAGGATTAATTTTATTATTGAACAACAACCATGTTCTCAATGAACCCAAAAAACTCATTAATATCAAAGCTGAATATTTTTGGAAGTAGTTTTTAGTTTGTTTTTAGTTATAGCTATGTTAGGGGGATATCTGTGTGTGCAGGTGACTATTACTGTGCATAATTATTAGGCAACTTAACAAAAACCAAATATATACCCATTTCAATTATTTATTATTACCAGTGAAACCAATATGACATCTCAACATTCACAAATATACATTTCTGACATTCAAAAACAAAACAAAAACAAATCAGTGACCAATATAGCCACCTTTCTTTGCAAGGACACTCAAAAGCCTGCCATCCATGGATTCTGTCAGTGTTTTGATCTGTTCACCATCAACATTGCGTGCAGCAGCAACCACAGCCTCCCAGACACTGTTCAGAGAGGTGTACTGTTTTCCCTCCTTGTAAATCTCACATTTGATGATGGACCACAGGTTCTCAATGGGGTTCAGATCAGGTGAACAAGGAGGCCATGTCATTAGATTTTCTTCTTTTATACCCTTTCTTGCCAGCCACGCTGTGGAGTACTTGGACGCGTGTGATGGAGCATTGTCCTGCATGAAAATCATGTTTTTCTTGAAGGATGCAGACTTCTTCCTGTACCACTGCTTGAAGAAGGTGTCTTCCAGGAACTGGCAGTAGGACTGGGAGTTGAGCTTGACTCCATCCTCAACCCAAAAAGGCCCCACAAGCTCATCTTTGATGATACCAGCCCAAACCAGTACTCCACCTCCACCTTGCTGGCGTCTGAGTCGGACTGGAGCTCTCTGCCCTTTACCAATCCAGCCACGGGCCCATCCATCTGGCCCATCAAGACTCACTCTCATTTCATCAGTCCATAAAACCTTAGAAAAATCAGTCTTGAGATATTTCTTGGCCCAGTCTTGACGTTTCAGCTTGTGTGTCTTGTTCAGTGGTGGTCGTCTTTCAGCCTTTCTTACCTTGGCCATGTCTCTGAGTATTGCACACCTTGTGCTTTTGGGCACTCCAGTGATGTTGCAGCTCTGAAATATGGCCAAACTGGTGGCAAGTGGCATCGTGGCAGCTGCACGCTTGACTTTTCTCAGTTCATGGGCAGTTATT